GTAAAAAGGAGATCCACCTGGTTCATATTTGTGCCACTGGACTTTGTAATCTTTCATGAACTGGTTCTCCTATTAAACCTTTTTCTAGTTTGTCTAACATGCTTTTTTGAAAGCTTTTCATACTGAAAACCTGTAAAGCAAAAGGTCCTTTCTGAGGTGGATACATCAGGTACAGAACTGAGGTGCAGAGCTTGCATTGTCCAGAACGTTTCTTTTGTCAGTCACTGCTGCTGAAGGGCCAGGTGGATGCACAGACACGTGGGGTAATCCTTGGGGTGTCCTGTGCAGGGCCAGGAGCTGGACTCGATGATCCTTGTGGGTCCTTCCAACTCTGATCCTATAATAGCATTACTTCAGGTTTCAGAGGAGAGATGTTCCCATGAATCAAACAGCAGAGCAGAAATCCCTGCGATACAGCCCAAATTCCAAGCCAGAACTCTTCAGCAGCTTTGCTAATTCCTGCAACTGGGCAGTGACAGACACGATTCCCGCTGGGAATAGAACAGAACTGTCCTTAAACTTTGGCACTGGAATAAGGTGGCAGTCCCTGCAGGCTGTGGAGGGCTCCCTGCCATGCAGGCGCTGACCACCAGCTGTCCCCATCGCCTCACTGCAGGCAGGCAGCGAGACCGCCTGGAAAGCGGCGCTGCCTTCGGGCAACTCAAATGGAAAGCTCGGGAAAAGCACCCCGAGCCGCTGCAGCTCTGGAGGTCTGCAGGCAGCTCATGGGACGCGCAGCAGAGGGGCTGCCATCGGCACAGCGTGCGGGGACAGCGGGGACAGCGGGGACAGAGCGCACGGGAACAGCGCCACAAGCTGAGCGCAGCTGACAGAGCAGCTCTGCGGGCGCGTCCCTGTGGCAGGACGGCAGCAGCAGAGCGGGCTGGAGCACTGCGGAGTTCCTGCCGCCCTCTGACACAGCCAGCACTCGAGCGAGCTGAGAAACCTCCCGCGGAGGTGTCTGCACAACCGGTGTCTCTGGGGGACACTGCCCAGCCTCAGAAACTGTTCCAGTTCAGGACTGGAGAAACGCATCCCAGAGAGGCCACGGGGAGAAGGTGTTTTAGGCTCATCTCAGAACAATAAAGTTCTTTCCTCTCTTGAGAATTCAGGATAATTGCTCATTTCCACTCAACTTTTGGCTTCTCAACGTGAGCCCAGAATACAGAATTGTCACTATGTTTGTTAGATCCACAAGATGTTGGACTTGGTCTCTTCACAAATCAACTTGGAGAAATCTGATTTCATATTGATATTGTTGGGGATTTATTATCGTGTAAAAGATGCCATTAAGAAAGAAGAACAACATTTTACAAGGCAATTAATTCCACCTTTTTTGCTTTTCTGGCCTTAATGTTGCTACTTACAAAAGAAGGCTGTATGTGCTTAATAAAATGTAGGTTATGGATTTGGATGCAAAGAGGAAAAGGGTAGGAAAGGCTGAGATTGTTATATCCTTCAAAAATGTAGTTGTAGGGAAAACATACTCAGGAAAGAGAGATTCCTGCTTTGTTTGTCCAGGTTCTGCTCTGGAGGGACCTCTCTCCACTGGGCCTCTGTCATTCCTGCATGTCAGATGATAACACCCTAAACCAAAATGTTCGCAGAGAGCTTTATCCAGAACAGTGAAATGAAACTCAGAAGTGTCAGTGCAGAATTATTGCCAAAATAAGATAAGAAGTAAGAAGTTTCACCAAGTTGGTGTAAGGAAGAGTTCAGAAATCCAACTATATGGGCAGTTTTCTTTCAAATGGGTTAAAGTCCCAAAACAAAACTCCTCTCCCTTTAAAATCTCCAATTTAGTTCCAAACTCTGAACTTTGCTGTTTGCAGCACCAGTGCCCACAGAAACTCTGGGCACCTGCTGTGCCACAGGCTCCCTCCTGAAGGCCTGTGGGGAGGGAACTGGCCTTTCTCACCCAGAAATGCACCGTATGGGTGTATTCCAACAGAATTTCAGCTTCAGCCACCAAAACAAGTAGCTCCAAACGCTGTACACACGAGGTTCTGTGTACAAACACTTTACAGATGTAATAAGAGACTGGAGAAACTTCAGGGGTTGTGGTTTTTTTCACTGCAGGATGGCAGATTTATGAAGGACTGCTCTTCCCAATGGGACACCATATTCCTCCTGGAACGTATGAAAAGCAACCCAAATCCCAATTGCTTTACACTTTGTGGTTGAGCAATTTTTAAAAAATGTTTTATTTTAAATGCAATACATCAGCATGTGATTATTCACACAGCTCCAGCAGGTAAAGAACACTTGGGGACTGTGGTTTAACTAATAGGTTAGATTTTAATGGTATAGAGTAGAAAAACTTGGACTAAGCAAACCTGAAATACAGCCCTGCTGAAATCACACCAGCTTAGGGTACTGGGGAAGCAAAACGGGGGAAGTTTCCTGCTTAGCGGGCACAGCATGTGGCCAGAGGGGTAAGGTATTGTCACTTTAACGATCACAGACTGTAAAGTACTTTCTTTAGGTAGCACAGAGCGAGGAAAAGAGTCTCCTCCGTGTCATTATATACCTGTATCAGCTGGAAGCATCAGAAGCTGGTTTTGTGTCATTTTGCTAATCCACGTGAATAATCACTACTTTCAGCAGCTTCTTGAGCCAAGTTATACCATCATGAAGAAACCGCTCAAGATGTCTCTCAGGTGACAATGGACAGAGAATGAATCCCTGCCTCCAGCCTGGTGTAGCCAACATTCCTGAGCACCCAGGGGTGCAGGGAGCCCCAGCTCCTCTGCAGAGCCCGTGCCCCGGGGCAGCAGGTACAGAAAGCCTGCAGGGACAGTTTGGCCAAATGAACATAATGAGAACCTTTTCCAAACAGCTGCGGGGCCACTGCTAATGCTGCTGAAAAGGAGCAGAGGCTGCCTCTTCCTCTGGCTGATTTATTGTACACCTGCATCGGGAGAGGCACTGAAATGCCGACAAGGACAATTTCCAGCCGTTCTGAAGAGGAGGAAAGGAAACGAAGTCAAGTTACAACAGAAAGCTGTAAAGCATCTTCCTTTGTAACTGTTTCAATGCAGTCTAAAACTGGAGAGCTACCAAGCAACCACAGTGCTCTGAGGGATTGGGAAAGGGAGGGAAACACGGGCTAAAAAATCAAACACTGAAATCACACTGTGCTGGTAACTGCAGACGCTTGTCTAGAGACACCTCATTCCTCATTAATGACTGATTTATTTTGCTGCTGCAGGAGAATTGGGCAGTTCAGATCCATGACACACTGAGCAGTGACTTCCCTAGATTTGGGGAGGCTGTACCAGCAGCTCTGCTTGGCCATTCCGAGTGACCAGCTGGCACAGAAGTGTGAATTGCAACCCAAAAAGCTCTCATATGCAAAAAGAAAAAACCATTTCTGCCAACTTCCCCCACCTAATGATTTTTAAAATACCTTCCAGCAATTACACCAGCAAAACATCGGCCTCCAAAAACTCAAGATGCAAACAGGCACAAGTTTTAGCAAAGTGCACAGGAAGAAAATCTCAAATACTCAGGGGAGGTGGCTGTGCTTCTGCACCCAGCTCTGGAATTCTCACTCAGAAAAGCCTTTTCCCCTACCCAGGTTGTGAATTCAGCCTGAGGACACCTTTCTCTCACTGAAGGAAACGTCAGTTGTCAGGTGTGCAAAGTGATTCTCTCCTCCTTAGAAGCTCTAAGTTTAAACGGTGTTAAAGTGCAAAAGACTCTCAGAGAAAAAATACACCTCTGAACAAAGAAAAAACTCATTATACTTTGCACCTGTTTAAGGCAAAAATCCCTTTAACGAGTTGGATCATTAATAAAGGTGCAATTAAGTATCACATCATTAAAGGAACAGGAATGAAAACAGGGTGAAGTCCCATTAAGAGACAATGCTGAGGTATCTATCTCATTTGAAAAAAAAGAAATCCACACTTTCTCTCCTTGCTCCTGGTTACAGATGATCTCGTAGGGATTTGTTACTTACATAAGATTGCTCCCGAAAGTTAGAAACTGCTTTTGTGAGCTAAAAAGCTCTAATTTGTTCCCATCTCTCTAAGAAAAGGTGTTACTTGTTGTGAACAAGCACAGTAATGAGAACAGAAAAACCTTCAGGGGAAGCTACCACTCATTTCAATATCACAAACAAGACACGAGCACAGGCAAAGTGACAAATTTTGCATTCTCTCAATAACAGATTCTCTTTCTGTTACCAGTGTAAGTTAGAACCGAGGAACTTCAATCACCGCGCCAAGCAGCCAGCTCATGAATAGGCTCGCTAACATCAACAAGACTATTCGTATGAACAAATGCTCAAAACGACTACGAGACTTCTTGTCTATCCTTTGTAATGTTAAAATCGGCAGGACGACTGCGGTTTCTAAGTGCTCTCCCACACGGACCAAGAGCTGAAGTCAAGAAGAGTGTTCATGAGAGAAGCGATGTACGAGCTGCAGTTAAAGACTGACCTGGTCCTTAGGGTTTAGTTTAAAACAATAATACAGCACGCTCTGACAGAACTGAAACCAGCTTTAGGTGACTATCAGCTGGTGCCTGAAGTTAGATTCTGGCACGCACAGCTCAAGAGAAACGCTGCTTTACCGTCTCAGCAGTTACGGGTAGCTGTGGGGACAGCTCTGCCTGAAGACCACGAGATTTCAAACTACTTTCTGAAAGTACAGAACGGGGCTGGCAATCCATAGAGGGCTGTGAGAAAGGAAGCACTGGAACTCGCAGCAAGGTGGGGTTGCCTGCATGGGCAGCCCTTCATTTGAATGCAAATGTAATTTTGGGGCAGGCAGTTATCTGTGACATCAGGCAGGGCCTTAGTAAACTGTTACCACCAGCACCTGGTAAAACCATTGTTAATCATGTGTAGTAAAGGGACATCAGGGCTAGCGTGAGTCATTTATAGAGCCAGGCTGGGCTAGAAAAGAGAGAAAGAAAGAGGAGGGGAAGGGAGATCAAACGAGCCCTGCGAGGAGCAGGATGTCCCGGCGGGCCGGAGCCGGGCTGTGAGCACCATGTACGTGAGCTACCTCTTGGAGCAGGACAGCACCATGTACCCGGGCTCGGCCAGGTGCGCCGCCAACACCCTGCCAGGGCAGGGCTTCGTGTCCGCCCCCCCCTACCCCGAGTACATGGGCTACCACCCCGTGCCAGCCCTGGACACCCACGGGCAGCCGCCGGGGCCCTGGGGCTCCCACTTTGGCCCGCAGAGGGAGGACTGGAACGCGTACGGGCCGGGCCCCTCCGGCGCCGCCACCGCCCAGCTCAGCGCCTCGTCCCCCGCGCAGGGCTCCTACAGCCCTGCCGAGTACAGCGCCCTGCAGCCCGGGGCCAACCCTCCCGCAGAGCCCAACAGTGCCCAGCACATCTCCCCCAGCAGCCACAGGCACAGCTCCTACGAGTGGATGAGGAAAACCGGGCAAGCCACGTCCACAGGTACGGTCGAGGGCACTGGGGGATGCTGAGGAGGGCTCGCTCGCTGCGGGGTTTGCCGGGTTCCCGTTCAAAGGGAGCCACGCAGATTAACACAGATCTTTATTGCTCTGAGATGTCCTCTTGCTAAATGTTGGGTGAATTACTCAATCAGTTGGCTGTTTCTTATGTTTCTTCCTTGACCTTTAACGCTGTGGGAAATGAAAAGCAGTGGCCTTTCACTTCTCACTTCAGATGTGTTTTAAAAGTCTGTGATATCAAATAACTGCTTTTAATAGGAGATTATAGATGGGAATAGATTCCTCCTATAGATGGGAATAGATTCCTCTTATAGATGGGAATAGATTCCTCCTATAGATGGGAATGAAGCAGCATGTCCGCAGAAAGGGATCATGATGCCACTATTGGATTTCAGCACCACCCATGCTTTGCTGACTTCCCTCAGGTTTTGGAGTACACATGGAAAGTTCAAGTGAAACATGTACAGCAGGGGGGTGGCAACAAGGCTTTGTACCAGGAACAGCCTCTCTAAACCTCAGAGCACTGAAATGAAACCTGCCAGATCGAACAATGAGTCCATGCTTTCAAAACAGGGATGAGAAGGAAAGGCTGGCTTCCCTTTGGAGTAGCAGCTCTCAGAATGTGCAGGAATACAAAGATCCACGGGGACACAATCAGTTACTGCGGCCACAGATCAGTCTCTGATGTGTAACAGTCAATGAGTACAATCCTTCAATCGTATTTAACCAGGAAAAATTAGTCACGGTCCTGTTTGATTGGGATGAGGGACAAGAGAACAAAAGATAAATATTGAGCATGCCCAAAAAACCCTGTATCTTGTATTATATGAAAAAATTACGAAACAAGAAAGGGGAGAAGAATAAGAAAAAGAGGGGAAACTGCCTGAAAAGCACAGAGGTACAGTCTGCTGCATGGAAGTATTTGATCCTCCAAGGTGCTGAGCAGCTGTGCCATGCCCTCAGATCAGTAGAAATTAAGGATGCTCAGTTCCTCCCCTCCAGAGATGCTCCCAGTATTCCAGTGTTCCATCCCAGGAAGGTCCCTTCCCTTTCAGCCCTCCCTCCAGCCCCAGCTCTGCTCCACACATGCCTGTAAATAATAGTCTGCAAAGCAAGTACTGAATCAATCTCTGGTGGAAAAGCCATTACTGAAACCATAAGTTAGAGAAATAAAAGCAACTGTCTAGAAAAATAGTCTCTATTAAAATAATACCTCTAATTTATATGTCTGGACAGAGCCATCCTCACTCCTGCTGAACACAACCTGAGTTCACAGAGAGTCCACAGAAGTCAGTAGGACAATCAGAATAGGTTGTTACTTCAGGAGAATAATAAATTGGGTTTTTTTGGGGAAAAAAAAAAAAACCCTTACAGCCTGCTTTTGGGTAGTCCCTCCAAGGGCAGTGAAATGTCTCATTAACTCTCTGATTTACAGATAGCACAACCTTTGGTGAAATAATCCACTGCTCATCTCTTCTCTCCCCACTCCCTTAGCTCCTGTGGGTTCCAGCTGCAGCTCTGAGAGCAAGAGCTGATTTGTTCTGTCTGTGTGTCCCTTTGCCAGTGGGGACATTGTGAGGCACACTGACACTTTATACATGTTATAGACAGTGCCACATCCCAACTGCCTGCCCAAGCAGCACACTTAGAACTTTCTCACTTTTCAGATTTCAAGTCTGCAAGGGTCAGAGCATTCCCAGGAGGAGCTGGCAGCATGTCCATCCTGGAATGGTCTAACATGAGCGTCTTCATGTCAGCAGGAATCAGCATCCCAAATGCCCATGGGCCATGTAAGGCCCTCTGAAGCTAGTGGGGTCTGGCCATTCATTTGATAGCTGTTGGGTCCTGCTGCAGGGAGAAACCCAGACTGGCAATTCTAATTGCTGCTTCTTTCCCTCTTATATATATTTTTCTCTGCTAGGCCAGGTAGGCTCTGTGCCAATAGATTTGTTTCACTGGAGTTGGTTCCTTTTTGTGCTTTCACTCCTTTTCCTCTGTTTAAAAGCAAGGGCACCATTGTTCTCACAGTTTTCCAAAACATAAAAGCATATTTTCCCTTCCAGCAGTGTCAGCTGTGGAATGTCACACTCTGAGTTTGGCTCTGTGCATGCAGGTGTTGCAGGTGACCTCAGGTGTGTGACCAGGCCAGCTGCAAGGGCCAGTGCTGCTTGCTGGGTCTTCATGGATGGAATCCATCGCTTTTTCCATTCTTAAAGCTGTCTGTGTACACTGAGCATTATCCTTCTGTCTCTTGGTAAAGCTTTAGGAATTTCAGTAGAGCGAGTGTAGGCAGGAGTCAAGGAATGCCAGCTCCTCTTTATCAGCTTTCCTCATTCCCTGGGCAATAGATATGACCCACTGTTCTTAGAGATGAGGAGACAGACTCAGACTTACCTGAGGTGATCAGCACAGAAATTACCTAGACAAGTTAATTTTATTATTTCTTCATTACCCTAGTTATCAATATTATTGCACTGTGGAAACAATAGCTATTAAGGCAAGTGATATTTACCAGATATTCTTGGAAGTGGGCAAGAAGTGTTCCTGTAATCTTCTCCCTTTAAGAGTGGGAGAGATTCATTCCAAAGGTTGGTTACTTTGAGTACTGTGACTTGCAGCAGCTGCAGGAACAAGGCCCTGGGTCTGTGGCATTTCCAGCTCCAGAGATTCCATGGTCAGCTTCTTTTCCTGGTGCTTTGTGGCCTCATGTCCAGATAGGGGACAAACAGAGCACCTCATTCCAATTCCTCCCACTGCCTCACATCCTCCGGTCCCCTTGACACCCTGGTACCTACACAGCTAACCTGCAACAAAGGCAGAAAGGATTTCAAGGCTGACTCTGTAACTTTAAAAACAACAATCCAACATCAATTGAAGACACCATGTCTTCAGCTGGTGTTAAGTGAAGCTTATGAGGCTTTGTTACATGAAATCTCTGGAAGATCTCAGTATTTAATGTGAGACTATCACCCTGTTTAGTGCTACTAAAGTGCATTTCCTGCAGGAAAGACCTACTGAGGCTTTCATGGACCTTTCTCTCCCTGACTGAAGGATGTCTGAGTGTCTGTCCCTGCAGCTTAGGAGCTGGAAGGACTGGGACTTGATCCTAAATTCAGTGCACACAGGATCCAACGTCCTGTCACTGCACTGGGAGGGTGTCCAGGACACAGGAGAGAGCAAACGTGTACTCAGGACTCCTGAAGGAGGAAACACTGACTAATTAGTACTTTCAACCATGAACACTGATAGAAAACACCCCTCTCTAACCCTTCCACTGCTCCTGCTCCCTGTCCTCAAGCCCCACTTGGAGAGGGTAGCACAGCCAAGGAGCAACTGTAACCTGGAACAGAACAAAGCCACAGCTGCAGATCTAAGGTGGCAATTCCACACACACACCACATCATTACAGCAAATTCTCTGGCAGAAAGCAGAATAAAACCACCTCAGAATAAGGTACTAATCTCCTCCTGTTGATTCCAACATTGCTATGGAGTTGTGTCATCACTCCCATAGGAGCAGACTTGGCTTTCTGGCTCCAAGCGTGCCCAAAGCACTGAGGGTGAGCAGGGAATTCCCAGGCAGTGCCAGCCAAGGAGAGTTTGCTCTGAAGCTGAAAGTACATCTTAAGATCTGCACTAATGTTACCATAAAACAGGGAGGGGCCAAGTTTTGAAGCAGAGGAATAATTAGGAGCAGAGCCTTCTCCTGTAGATGACAGCTCTCCTCCTGTCATTCTTCTTCAATAGAAGTTTACCCTGAGGACATAAGGGCAATTTTTCTGCTGCTGCTGAGGGTGCTGAAAGCATCAAGACCAAATGCACTGTAAATGTGCATTTAGACTCTGAAGGAAGATGTTATATCCCCTCAAATCTAAGGAAAGGGAACAAGTCTCTTAAGAAGCCACTCCTGTAAAATGGAGTTGAACTCAATGATCCTTGTGGGTCCCTTCCAACTCAGCAGATTGTGTGATCCTGTGAAAATGCTGAATGCCTAAAGAACACAACACTTGGAAAGGAAATTCAGTTGCTCACTTGCCTTTCAGTCTGTAGAGTCACTGGCAGTGGGGTTTCCCCTGATTTGCCACTCAGAAATGCACCTCCACTTTCTGCAGGTTGTGTCTGTCTGCAAACAGGACCCACACAGGGCAGCCTGTCCATTTATCCCCATTAAAGGGGATAAAATTGGCTCTGCTTTGGACTCTCTTCCGTAGGATGAGGAGTATTAGAAAAGGTCACACTGGTAAGGGGAAGGACAGTTTGGCCAGTGAACTTTATTTCAGAATGGCAGAACATGCTCAAAATTGGAAACAGAAGGGGAACTTCAAGTCTGTTGAAAGGTTCCAATCTTATGATCCTGCTCTGTTCTTTTCAGCACCAATAACCTGAACATGCATGACAAGAACAAATGAACAGGACACAGCAGAAAATGCAAACAGAGAATTTCACCACGTTTCCCAAACCTTCCTGCAGTTAACTTTGCAGCAATGCCTGGGACCAGGACACCTCCTCAGCACACCAAGATTTCTGGCAGCAATATTATACTCACATTACACAGGACTGGATCCATGGAACATTTTCTAATACAAGTGGCAGTGTGGGTTTGGGGTTTTATTATTTTAAATTTAGGAACATCATGTGCAGCACAATGTCTGTCTTCAAAACTTACTTGAAATTATTTTTGCTTCACAACTTCAACCGAGGCAGTGAAATGACAACTGGGGAGAATCTGCCCCTTAGTGTTCCTAAAGTACAGAAAGAGTTAGGGATAGCCCTAAACAAATCCCTGGGAACTGATCTCTGACAGTCCATATCTTTATGAGCTCAAAAATTAACATTAGTTTCTTAAGAGTAAGCTAACAGAGAGGTGCAGGTTTGAGCTGAGCCCATTCCCCATTTCCAGCTGATTTAAGGGAACTCCAGCCACCAAGTACAGACATTACTTCCCCTGAAACAAAGCCCTGGAAACCAGGCTGTAATCCCACAGCAATCCCACACTGTTCTGTACTGGGACATCCTCAGGCAGCTCCTGGACTTTATGAACGACGTTGGTTTCAGTAGATGAGAAATATTCTTGAAAAGTTAAGAGAGGAGGCTCTGAAAGAGGAGCCAGGGCTGGTTCTAATGCTAATTTATTTTGCTTTGTAAACTAGTTGTGAGGTCCGATGGTGGTTTGTTTTGTTTTGTTTTTTTCCTTTCCTGGGCTACATTGTCTGAGGTTTTGAGGCCTATCTGTCATATTGAGGCAGCAGACCCTTTTAACACTTCACTTTGCTTTGATATGCAGCCTTGGCTCTTCCTTCTCCCTCCTTTCTTCAGGAGTTATATTGCCGGAAAGGGTGATGATTTTCACAGCAAATAAAGAGGCCTTCTCCCAGCTTTATTGTCTTCAGAAGAAATGCTCTGTGAATTTTATGACCAATGGGAAAGCTGTTCCCTTCCCCCAGCTCAAAACTTGGCCGGTCACAAAAAATTGCCATGGTGGGTGTGATAGAGCAGGATTGTTAAACTATATCTTATTAAAAGCCTTCTGAGTCTGAAATGTCTTATTTTTTACTGGTCCAAAGGCACTTCTCAGTAGTCAGAGGTTTTGGACAAAACTCCCTCTCCTTAACCAGCTCATTAAAGCCAGGAAATCCACTCCCCCCAGACAAAGGCAGGCAGACTGCAAAGGTAGTTGCTTCAAAGCTCTTTTGTTTCATTTCTCCTCCACCCACACTAATAACCTCTGCAACCACTTGCAATTCCACAGGATAATTGTCCATGGCAGAAGATATTTCCAATGGAACTGACACCATATTGCTGTGATTTTAACCTGGCACTAACAAAAGGTTCATTAAGATCCTACAAACCTAAATGTTTGCAACTTCACCCACCCACGTGAGATTTGACTAAAGAATTGGATCCATACAATAACTTTTATCATTGCATCATTAAACTCTGCCATTACCTCCTAAAGAAGTCTGAGAGGTGAAGAACATCCTTCTGCTGTCTCTGGGGTGAATCCATGAGTCCTCCCTCAAACTTTCCTCAGTTCACAGCTCTCCTTGCAATAAAAGGCATCCCTGTAAACACACCCATGGAAGGGCTGCCAGTTTGGCTCAGGAGGCACTGGAGGGGATCCATTTCATCCAGCAGATGGAATGGAGAGGCTGAAGTCCAAAACTGTCCAGGGATAGGTTCTGATGCTGCTGTTTGTTAACTCTGGCAAATAAAAGTGTACTTTGCCTTGGAAAGGAAATGCCTTGTGCAGACTAAGCCAGCCCAGCACCCACCAAAGGCTTCAGGGGGACTCTCAGTGCCCTCAAGGCCCAACAGACTAAACCAGGGCTCGGCCACAACTGAAAGTGTCTTCTCAGGAGACCCTGGCAGACCTCAGCTCCCACTGCCTGCTGTCTGTCACACAGGGGATTATCCAAACAAACAAACCCCCCAAATTATTAAAGACCAGATTTATGTGACAAATCAGAGAATTTTTCTCAGAATATTTCTCATAATTTCCTTCCTTTTGCTTTTCTACTTTTTATTTTCTTAACTTACTTTAAAGAAAGAAATTAGATGTAAAAGCTCCAAAACTCCCTTCAAAAAGAAACTAGATATTATCATTTCTACTAAAAAAAAAAAAAAGAGCTACTAATACGAAAATAAAAGATTTTACGGGAGAAAGTTTTCCTTGTACATTTAGTTTCTTCTTCAGTTTAAAAAGAAACAAAACAACCCCACGACCCCCTCCTACTCAGATAATAAGGGCTTAAGCACTTAAAACCAGAAACAGGAAGGTTTATCTTGACGTTTACCACCTTGTTTTGGCAATAGAAGAACATTCGATATTTGTCTGTGGCTTCTGAATGAGAATAGAGGTCAAGATAAGATCACCTTGTTGCTCTTTTGTGTACTCCATCTTAACAACACAAAGGACACTAAGGAAACATGTTAAACATTTTGTCCCATAGAATGACCCCAAATTCTCATTTGAAGAGGGGAAAAAAAAAAAAAAAAACAAAAAAACGAACCAAACCAGCAGCTAGTGAGATCAAAAGCTAAAAAATATCAAGTGAGGCATTAAAGCACTGCAGGTGACCATATGTTAAACAAACAATTTACACTTGGAGTGAACGAAAACAAATGTCCTGGGATTTATGTGGACTGAACTGAGTAACCGCTGCTCCTTAGAGACTCTAAAATTCTTACCTTAATGTTGTAAAATTAGCAGCACTTTTCACTTGATTATCGGTGTAAAGGTAATTGGGCTAATCCCGCTTTCACTGCAGCTTTGCAGTGACAGAAATGCTTCTGGAATGAGTGCCGTGTGTATCGTCCCCAGCCCAGCAGAACCTTCCCGGGGAAGGCAGCAGGCGGGACCCGAAGTGGTTGGGCTGCTCGGATCTCGCAGAGCCCGCAGCGCAAGGACAAGCACAGCCCTGTTTCCCCCCCTAAACACTCTGGTGATGGGCTGATGGTTCTCAGGAGGATGGGCAGTGCCAGTAATGAACGGTGCTCTGCCAGGGGCAGCGCGGGAGCTGAACCACCAAATTCTGATGTTCTAGGAACCTGGGGAGAGTCCCGGAGAAAGCCTGTCCTTAGGGGAACCACAACCACCCCCAGGCAAGGTGGAACAGTGTTAATTTACAGCGTGGTGCTGCCCAGGGCTCCCTGTGCTCAACAACATGCCCAGCTGGGGCTGGATCTCTGCAAACAGCACAAAGAGCAGCAGAGCACGAGGACCCTTCCAGGGCAAGCAGTGGCTGGGGAGCCAAAACTCCCTCCCAGTAGCAAAGTATTGACTGTCTAATGCTAAAAGAGGCAGGAGTGATGTGGCTCTCAACCATGACCATCCAGAGAGCACAGCAAGTGGAAGGCAGTGCTGATTTTAAACGTGCTGAGCCATTAAAACCGATGAGACACCACATCTCCCTCCAGAGAGGGGGGAAAACGTTAACACAAAGCATGAATTAGGGGATAGAGCACTCCAAGACTTTGCTGTAGTTCTGTACCCTGAATTCTGAACTTTGGGTGCCACTTCAACTGCAAAAGCAAGGGTGGGGGGCTGGGGAAGAAGGAGGCCACTGATGGATGACCCTGCAGCTCCTCTCTCCTGCCAGGGAAGATGGTTGCTCTGGGCCACGTGCCTTTGGGATCTACTCAGAGACTGACATTTTACCAACTCAGTGCCTCAGAATTTATTTCAGTCCGTTCAAAGTTAACGGCTCTTAGCAGAGAGCATTTATTAGGGGGTTGTGGGAACTCTTTTTTGAAGAGTTAGACATCCACATAATGCCTTCAGAAGTCCTGTGAGCAAACAGGAGCTGCTTGTGAAGCCACCCGAGGTCTGCAGCAACAGAGGCAGAAGGCACAGGACACCTCCAGTTCTGTGCATCATCTGAGAGGATCTGCACCTACTGCAGGGACTGCTGGGGACCCAATTCACAACCCCCAGCACCACAGTGGAACATGGGGCAAATGCACACCTACTGGAAGTGCATTCCCTGTCCCAGACAATTGACAGCCTAAACCTGTCCATGTGGAGGAATGGCCCTATAGAGACAGACAGACAAGCAAGCACCGAAAACTGGTCAGGCTGTGGTTGGCAGAGATGGTAACACTGGTCCAAACACACCCATGATCCGGTCTGCCAAATATGCGGATGACCTCAGGCCTTGGCTTTGAGCAGGTGCTGACCTGCAATCCATTGACTGCCTGAAGTGAGCTTAACCACAGGGGAAAGGGGGGTGAGAAAGGAAGCACCAGCAGCCTCTCCCATCCTCAGCTACACATCCTGTCCTCAGCAATTCCCCTCCATGGAATACATAAACGTGCAGGGCCTCGCATCTGTGTTCCCTGATGTCACTTCCATTGCCTTTTAATGGCCTGGCCACTGCTGAGCCCGGGCTGCTCCACTCAGCCCCACTCTGCTGAGCAGAGGCAGCAGTGCTGCCTGCAGAAGAGCAGATGCTGCACCTCTCTGCCCATTGTGAGGGATTATTGCTTTCCTTTTCTCTTCTTTATTAACTGTCATCTGAAAGATCTATGTTACTGCTCCCTGTGCTATTATCAGGTTGTGGACAGACTGAGCCAGACCTTGAGGGAAAACACAGCCTCCAAGCTGCAGTAACAATCACAGCGTGGTAGGAATTTTTCTAGCAACAAGAAGTGAGGAACTTTGGAAGCTCTCAGTATTTTGTGTGCAGTCAAATGTCCCTCCCAGTCACTGCAGCAGGTAGAGTGTTTGGGCTCCAGGACAGAGAAACAAGGGCAGTGCACCCCCAGGCAGGAAGCTTGGATCAGAGCTGGGAACAGAACCCAGCTTTCCTGGTTCCTTCTTCTTCACAAGAACACCTTCCCTTTCCCAAATGATAACACAGGGGTGATAAAGAGCATGAGAAGCAGTTTATCATCTATTTACTAAGGAGCAAACCCAATATCTGATGGTATGAACCTCTTGTGCTGTAAATCAAGATCGAGTCAAGGGATTCCTGCTGGGCAAGTGCATAGAAATCAGGCCTAAAATACCCACTGATATCTGCAAATGTAAAGCCAGATATTTGTGCAATGTCACATATTCTAGCTTGAAACAATGTGTTCTTCTTTCCAAACAGGCAAAACAAGAACAAGAGAGAAGTACCGAGTGGTTTACACAGATCACCAGAGGTTAGAGCTAGAGAAGGAGTTTCATTACAACAGATACATCACAATCAGGAGGAAGTCTGAGCTGGCTGCAAACCTCAGGCTCTCAGAGAGACAGGTAGAGTATGGATCCCGTGCATCCCCCAGCCAGCATTCCCTTTGAGTGTAACCCTGCTGCAGGAGAGAATGGTGCTGGTGAGGAACACCCAACTGCCAGTGCCTCCCACACCAAACAGTGGCACTGGGGCCCCTCTGCAGGTGCAAACACCACCGTCACACACAGTCCTGCCCTGAGGAACAAGAGCTAAAGAACACCAGCAAACCCTGCCTGCATTTCCCTCCGGGCAGTAGGAGCAGGGAGAGATTTCTGCTGACATTTCTAAAGCAGAAGTCCTGGTTCTGCTGAAGCCAGTGGGAATTCCATAACCAAATCCAGCCAGGTCAGTCTGAGTGGAGAATGGGGGTGATGAGCTCAGGTATGCTGAGGACACTTGAAGGTGTTTGTGTTTTCAGCTGCCTATTACCTTTTGTTAAATGATTCCTACACACTTGCTATTCCTTTCTCCTGCCCCTATTTCCTACCACCCCCTCCAAATCCCACCTCTGTTCCCAGAAGATAACTCAAAGCACAGTCCTGTTATTCACCACTGTTTTATGGGCTCTGCTGAGCAGGGATAGTCCAAACTTCACCCAGCTGTAGCACTGTCCATCTGCCTTGAACCTGTCTCACCCAGCACATCCTGGAAGAGCTCACAGAAATGGGGAAGGAAATATGTCTCAATCTGCCATTGAATGCAAGTATTTAATTACTGAAAATTGCAATTATTTCAACTGGGTATAAAAAATGCACTGTGTGTCTTTTTGCTGGCTGTGACAACATTAATAACTTGACTTCACCATGCTGAATTTGAAAGTTATGGCCTTGCTTCTGTAAACAGCCAATGCCATTTACTTGAAACTTCCTAGTGGTAATTCCTGATAAACCCTTTTGTTGGTATATTAGACAAGGTGAAACAAAAACACGTGATATGTTTCTTTGTCATAGATTGGCTGTTTCCTCAAATGTTTCCAAATATGGCAACAGTTTTTGCCATATTTGCTCTTCTTCATCAGCAAGATGTCACAAAATTAATCCCAATGCATAAAACCTCCATCCCTGGTAAGATTAAAAAAAAAAGCATGTGATAGATTCTCCCCACCACCTTTCAGTACAAATTAAACATCCCCATGGGATGAACATGCTGAACACTGTCCTATCCCAACCTCCACCTAAAACCTGACAGGATTTTCTGGAAAAGCTTTTTTCCTGCCTATGCCTAAATCCCACCCAGGACACTGGAAGGAATAACTCAAGAGAGAAGGACAAAGAACAGTCATTTAAACAAGGAAGGAAAGATGCAACATCCAATTAAGAAAAAAAAAAAAAGGCAAAATGAAGCACTGTTAATAAAGGAAGGGTACAGAACTAAAGGAGATGATGAGGATGAGAAAGAAGAGAGAAAATGAGACTTCAGAGGAAGAGATACCTGGAAGAAAAGAATACTGAAGGAAGCAGGTGAACAACAAGTCAGACTGATGCAACTGGACATGCTGGTTTTTAGTCTGGTATTATAGATCTGAACTCACTTGTACTTATTTGCTATGAGCCTCTGGTGTCCTGGACCTGCTGCAGATCTGCTTCTCTAGTTTAACAGCAACCCAGAACAAACCCCTGAATTCACAGGCAGGTAAGAACACTGAAGCCAGAGGGGAATTCATAAATGCTGGTTTAGTGTTCAGACTGTCCCATCTTTTCATACATTTTGGCAAACGTATGAGAGAACCTGAATTATTTTGGCACAGTGAGAATGTGAGAGATCTGAGAGCTCTTGGGGCTGCTTCAGTGGAACAGTTTGGCACTGAAATGATATTCCACAAGTAAGACAACAAAATGAACTCCAAACATCTCAGATGGCAGCCTAGGACTTGAGAGACCTAGTTCAAATTTACACAAGCTTTGCATGTAATTGAATTCTTCAACTGTAAAACCATAATAATGCCTCAAGGCACTGAAGCTGTCACAGAGACTCCTTAAGAGGTTTTGTGGACTTCACCAGTGGTTTTGTTTTAAAACACAGCCTGACAGCCACAGATGTTATCACCTCTTACAGTTTTACCTCCATTCTGATCACCTTTCTCTTTCCCTTTCCAGATTCTAGTGAAGATCTAAACAGATCAGTATTTCTCAGCAAACCATTGATTTTTCTTTAGGTTACAGTAAACCCAAAGAAAAAGTGAGAAAAGTGTTTCCTTTGCCATCTGAACACCAACCTGAATGAGGCAGCTTATTACACTGACTAGACACGATACAGAGCCACTTCCAAGGATAAACAACTGGCTTTTAATGCTTCAAATCCAACACTGGGCATTCACATTCACCCTTTCAAACCTCAGCAAGTTCTGATGTATTTTCAATTGACTCATCACCTTCATCTCATTCCTCACTTGTTCCACCCCCACCAAAATCCACGTACTCTTCAGTGGGTGCTTCCTTTGTTCCCAAGGATAACTGTGTCCCTGGGATGGGGTGTAAAGCAGTGGCACATTCTGGCTCCATCTGGGAATGCAGTAAAAGGCACTCAGCTGTTAAGGCACTGCTTACACAATGCTTTGAATTACCATGGGGTCCCAAGTGTAGTGCACTGGTGAAACTCTGCTCTGCATTTGCACTGGCTCACACACTGGAGATCACCAATTCACGTGCAACATCCAAACAGGAAATGTTTGTGCCTCAGTTTATAGGCCAGGAACAGGTTTTGACTTACCCTGACTAGGACATATAATTTTCAATGCAATGATACTCTTGGGTCCTTTTGGCCATCACTGTGACTCACGAGATTCTGTCCTGTTAGATTTTGTTTAAAAAAATAAAATAAAATAAAGCAAAGGTCATTCCATGAAGAAACACCTCTAAATAACAATGAAAAACACTTTTTATCAAGCTATTACTAAGTATCTCATTAGCAGCCAGGAAAGATTGCCTGTATGAAAATCAAGCACACGGCTGTGCTGTCTCACTTGGCCCCTGCCTTTCTCACTGGTGCCCATGCACTGATGTTCCTGTGATTCCGTGAGTAAATGCACTTGAGTAGCAACTGAAAACAACTTTCCTCTGCTCCTTTACAGGTGAAAATCTGGTTCCAGAACCGCAGAGCCAAGGAAAGAAAGCTAATGAAGAAGAAAATGACCCCGTTTGAGGGCAGCAGCCTGGGCTCCCTGCAGAGTGACTCTGGCTCCGTGAGCCCCATGGCCGGCCCCGACCCCCAGGCTCACCCCGAGGTGCCCAGTTCCCTGTTCCCAGCGCCCCCCCCACCGCCCATGGGGGGGCTGCAGCACCCCGGGGGGCTGCAGCAGGTGGTGGCCTCGCAGTGAGGAGCGGGGCACGAGCCCCACGGGACACAGGCCTCAAGGACAGTGACCCCAGAGCGGGTCTGCAGGACAGCACAGCTCCCCAGGGCACTGCAGCTGGGCCAGCAGCCTCGGCAACAGGCTGTGGTGCCACGAGGAGAGGAGCCCTCCGGCCAGGGAGGCAGCGACAGCCGGGAGCAGACACAGCGGACTGACAGCACAGACCTGCCCGGGCAGCCCCAGGGCTGGGGCAGCTGCACCCGTGACTGCCCCTGGCCCCAGTGCAGGAGCAGCTGCATCCAGGACTGCCCCTGGCCCAGGGCTGGGGCAGCTGCACCCGTGACTGCCCCCGACCCCAGTGCAGGAGCACAGCCCTTCTCCCTCAAGCCCACCCGGGCTCCACGTGCTCAGCTCCCCCCCTCGGACTTCACACGTGGATCTGGACACACGAAAACCCGGCTGGTGGCTTTGGAGCCAGCTGGTGGAAAGCCTGGATCCTGGAGGCTGCACTCCCTCCATGTTGAGGGCAAAGGGCAGGGATGGGCTTTTTGGAATGGTTTGGGTTTGACAGGTATGGTTTCCAACGCTCCACACACTGGTATGAACACACACTCTTCCACCTCGCCGATAATGTTTTGAAAGCATTCTGGAACTGGGAATCTTAGCCCAAATTCATTTTTGGTCAAAGAAAGTTCATGTCAGACTCATTTTGGATACTAAAAGAAGGAGCAAAGGGGGGCAGAAATCCTTTAAAAAAGTGGAGGTATTTTGAAAAGTGGCTGCATTTCATGAGACAACAGAGCCCATGGATAGAGATGCAAGAATTGCATTCAACCAGTTTTAAATTTGGTCCAGTTTTATGAGCTATTGTGGCACTAAAAAAATCCGAGAAGCCAAATTACTGGAAGAAAAAACAAACAAAATATTTCACTTAGAGATAAGCTCCCAATGTTTTTTAAGAGTGTCTCAGTTCCTGAAGTGCTGATCTTTCTCATACTGAGCAGAATTTGGTAGGTAATCAGTATTTCAGAATAATTCAGACACTTCCTAACATGACTCCCAATTGCATGTGCATAACTTCTGGCTGCAAAAGGAAAACTTGGGAATTTATACCTTCATTGTCAAAAGCAGTTTAGAAATTTAGGATGCCTTTTTTCACTAATTTCCACCAAGGTGTCCTCTGAAATATCTCTGTCACTGTTGCAAACAAGACTTAGGAGCATTAAGTCATTTAGGCACTACATTCTTGTTCTCTTTTTTCCTTAATTATAACAAATAGTACTATTAGAGCATCAAAATGTTGGTAATGTGAAATTACTTTGTATATAAAGAACATTAAAATAAATTACTTTTTTCATAACCATTTCCCGGTGTGGTAGCAGCTACTGTAGCAAGTGAACATGAGGGTTTTCATGATAAATCTGTTCCTGACTTGGAATACCAAATTCAAAGGGAGAGTGATGGTAAAAAAAAGCTACCAAAAATGAGAGGAGGGTGGTAAGACCAGGATGGTTCAGGGAGCTGGCAGTTTTCACTGGTTCTTCATTTTATTTATCATTTTATGATAAGGACAGTGCTAAATAAAAGTGGAATTCCACTTGAAATGGAGGCGTGGGGGACGTGGTGACATTGCCACTGGTTCCTGTCGCAGTGGGGGGGCAGTCTGGAGCTCTGCACAGCAAACAGGCAGGGCAGCAAATTGCAATTCAAAGTTCAGCAACAGAAAGGCTCCCCTGCTCTCCTGAGAAGAGGAGCAGGGTGAGCAGCACGTGGGGACAGCAGCCATTTCCCATCGGTACCCACACCCAAGCCCTGCTCTCCCAGAGAGCTCTGCACTGGATGCATCCAAAAGAGGAACCACTGGGAGTGCAGAGAACAGCCAGCCTGTCTGCAGAGGGAATGCCAGAGGGGTCACCTGTGGCTCACACACACACACAGATTTACCTGAACAGGCTGCAAAAGGTTCCACCAGAGAACCAACCTCACACCGGCCAATTAACCACAACTGTGCTGCCTGCCTGGGGAAAAACCTGAGACTGACAGATTCAGCCTTTCAAAAGGCAAGAACACAGAGGGAAACTTGGTCTTTTGTACTGATACACAATACTTTAGGACCTACTTCTAGCAGAACTTCTAACAGCAGCCTGGCCCCCGGGTTCTGCAGAATTAAGTGCAGAGCTCCCTATTTTAATCACATTTCCATGACACAGCTTAATTTTACAATAACATTTCTCAAAGGAAAAAAACAGTACTTCAAGGAAAAACTTCAAGAAATACATCTGAACACAACTTCTTTCTCTTTAAAATAATTGGAACGTCATTCAAAGAGAGGGGGATCTGGCAAAACGACCTGGTTTATCTTGTTTACATGTAGAAGAGTTATTGAGGAAGATAAGTGAGCACTTTGAAGATCTGGCTCATTTCTGCTCCAGTTTGCTGAAAGCATGCTTGCTAGAGGTTGCTATGTGTTCCCAATCAGAAGTTGTTAAGTACACAAAATAAGGCTGGATTTTATTTGCAGAAGCACATGTTCAAAGGTTACAATTTATTGCTCCAAAAGCAGTATCTATAAACCAGGGCAATACCTTAGAGATTATTAACCTTCTAGTTATGCCAGTGGCTGTTTTAAATAGTTGGATTTTTTTTTTTTTAAACTCACCAGCCATCCATTTAACTAACTATTTCCCATGGGCTTTAATCCTTTAAACAGCTGCCCACCAAAAGCCAAAGAAAGCTATTTTTCTCTCGGAAGCTTGTGCAGTGCTGTGGCTTAGATGATGTATTGTGTATAATTAAAAACAAAAGAGACATAAAACTGGAGACAAATTAACTGAAATGATTTTGGTGGAGCATTGTGATTCATGAAACACTGGGACCAATGCTCAGGATAATACTTTGGGTATATCACATAACTTCACCCTTTTGTGACATCTAAAAACTGGGGACACCAGAGCAGAGTGCTGTGAAGATGGATTGGTTGTTAGCAAAGTGCCTTGAAGAAGAAAAGCATACCTTAGACCACATCACAGGAATATCTAAGCCCTTAATCCTAATTGGGATTAAAAGAAGGATCAAGGAATATCCAGTTTTCCGAGGAATTCGCTGACCTTTCCTCCCCGTTTCCCAGCAAGAATTGGGACCTGTATGGTACAAAACCACCACGAGCAGCTCAGCAAACAGCCCCTTCCACAACCCCTTCATGCAAGGAAGGAAGATACACAATTCAAAGTGATATTTCTAATCCAAAGCCTTCAGTAATTGTTGGGGGGTTATGCAGTCGTTGAGGGACATGAGAGAGCACCAGGGCTGTGCCACCTTCTACCTGAGAAGCAGATTCCAAAACACAGTCCTTCTGGATGTTAGTATGCAAATTAAAAAGCACACCCCAAGTTTAGCAGCCTTCCAGGTTTGCTGGTGCCCCCCAGGGTTCCTCCCAGCCGAGCCTTTCCACGCAGCACGTGTTGTGTATGCTGGGCTGACACTCCCTGCCAGTGATTCACACTCCCATTTCGGGGGCACTGGAGGACACTGCCTGCACACCGCTCTGTGCAGCACTCACTCAGCCAAGGAATGGGCACAGGTTTTCTGATTAAATGTTTGCCAGCTGTTTTCATGCTCAAAGAGCTCAATTCTTTTTCAATAAAAAAGCCTGAGATGTGTCACAATAAATGGAGGGTGGATTAGGAGACACCCTGGATGCTCTTGGTTTCTAAGCCACAACAGACACAGTCACTGTAAGGCAGGACAGATCATACATGAAATGCATTGACACTACTTTTAATCAAACACATTTTGACACTTAGAAATTAAAGATAAGTCACCGTTAGCAGCAGTTAGAAAATCAATAGTGGGGTAGATAGAAGAGTAAACACACTCAGGTTTCAACCAGCCACTCTCCATCCTTTTTCAAGAGGATTTGTTAAGAACTAAAATTTCAGAGCATGAAATTAAAAATTAAATCACTGAGGAAGGTTTCACAGACAACTGGCATCTTTATTTCTTCTGTTTCTATCTTATGCAAAACAAATACACTGGAGGGATCAGAGACACACACAGGGCAGAACTGAAATTAATGATGTATCCCTTTTCACTTTTCCCCAGAGGAGGTCACTTCAGCAAGTGAAAGCAGCTCAGTTTTGCTCACTCAGCCCTGTGGGCTGTGTCACATCTGCCAGATGTGGTTTGGCACATGCTTGCCTTTCAAACCCTGAAAATGAGACCTAAACTACGGTGTTGGATATTAAACCAGCCCAATTACAAAGGCAAATAAAAAAATTCAGAAGCGTTATGTTTGTAGAACCTTCAATAAAAGCAAAAGCAGTCTCTTTAACTGTTCTAAAATGTTAAAACCATCTGCCTTCCTTCATCACTTGCCCATTTTTTCCCAACAGAGCTGCCCTGAGCTGACAGTAGACCATGTAGTGACTGACCTTCCCTCAAGATTCACACTGCTGAACAGCAATTTTAGGACTGAGAGTGCATTCAAAGCCCAGCCTGGATCCAGGGTCAATAATGCATCCAAAACACTGCACTGCACTCTCAGCAGCACACAGTGCACCAACCATTCCTTCACATTCCAAGCATGCAGTTACAAAGGTAAGGGCAAGAGGCATTCCTAAGCCTGGTGTTCCTGAAGTGCTGTTTGAGTGCTCATCTGGAGGCAAGCAAACAAACATCTGCTCCTATCACCTGAGCCAGAATGGGGCACACCGAGCTCACCTGCTCCTTTATTCTAAGAAATCAGAGAGACTTCACATAATTTTCAAGCTTCAAAGACAGACAGATTAGTTCCTTCTTATCTACATAAAATGAAGAGTGACTTTATGAGTGAGGGCTCCTAATAAAAACTATCACAGTTATGAACACCTTTCATGTAAGTTATTGTTGCACAGGCAGGTTTTAATCTCCCAGTAGTGCCGAAATTGCAGTTATAATGGCTGTCATTAAAACACTTAATTGCACGGTGGTGATTATGTTGTTATTACCCAGGTTGGAGCTGCTCTCTAGAACAGCACATCCACCACAGAGCAGCGGCTCCCCTGCCTGTCCAAACAACCTGTACAGCTCCTGCATGTGCTCCTGGAACCTAGATATGGTTGTCACCACGTGTGTTGTCACTGATTTCACCCACCGCTTGTTAGAAAACTAGAAAACCTTCTTCCCCAAGGAGCTCCAAGTACAGTTGATTTAACAACACAAAACTTCACTCCAGCGACCGCTGAGGCAGCTCGACACCGGCTCAGGAGATAAACTACTGCTGGCGTTTGAAGAGGTGGAGAAAACAGCCTTGGAGGTGAGTTTTCCTGGCAGTGCCTCTGTCTGGAGGGTGCCAGAGCACAGCAGCACCACCCCGATCTGCCCCATGTGGCGCTATCCCGCACCCAGAACAGGCACAGGCACAGGCACAGGCACAGGCACACACCTCCCCAGGGCTGAGATGTCTGCGTGTCCAGCCACCCCCTCAGAACGGCTGGCAAACGTTCCTTTAATATCCCGCACTGTTCTGGCACACAGAATAGCAGACAGCAGAGCCGGGGTGCAGAAGGTCATTCGAACATTGCCATTTCAGTTGTCTTATTCTCACTTTGGTGCTAAAAATCTGCAGTCCTACCCAGCAATCTTATCCTGCTATGCAAATCTTTTTAAACAAAATGCTTTATTCAAAGCTTACTATTGTGAGCCGGTATCAAATCAGTGCAGCAATTTGCCATCCCAGTATCTTGATCTAATTACGTTCTGGAAAGAATCGAAATAGATCTGAAGAAAATTCTGATAATGGAACAGGCAAAACAAGAAAGGGAAAGGAGGAGCATAAACAGAAGATAAAAGAAGAACAGAGCATCAAGGATAAAGCTCTGAGATACAAAAAATAGGATTAGGTGATACAGAAATGGTGGGGGGTACGTGCAGAGGAATCCCATAAAGGAAGAGGAACAGCGGGGATTAAAAATGTTACCAACGTGTAGTGCAGTCTATGAAATGACGTCACTCACTGAAAAGTGAAAATGGGGGTTAGGAGGAGTCAAATAATGGGTCTGATCCCAAATCCTCGAGCAACCATGTCCATGTTTGAAATCCAGTGGATTTCAGCTGCAGTCGGTGGACACGAAACGTGCCCCGGTGGCCCTGCCTGTGACTGAAGGCTCTGTGGGCACTCAGCGATGCCCGGGGTTGAGCTGCTCCCAGTGTCCCAAACAGCCAAGATCCAAGCACAGCCCAGCACAGGACACACATCTGTTTCAATCTGGATGATGCTCAGCGCAGTTCTTTGTTCTTTATGGTGCACACCACTACTAAACGCTCTGTGGGCTCTCAAAAATCGTGCTGCAATTCCTTTTCTTGCAAGATGAAGGCAACAAGAGTCTCTTTCGATTTATTTTTAGTCTTATTTTTATAACCAATTACAGAAGGTCTTACTTTGATTGATTACAATGATTACTGCAGAATTTTGTAAATGCAGCAAAATTCATTAAAAATATTTTTCTACACTTCTTAGCAAAAATTCTTCCCTCAAAAAGAAACCCCAACCCCAACCAGAAAAGGAACATCTTTCCTGTCTTTAGTACACACTTAGAATCCTTTAGTGCTGGAATTAGAAGGGATGTGTGAATACGAGTAGTGTCAAAATACAAAGGATCCTGAATGAAAACCCACACCTTTGTAAAGGGAAACAACTCATTGTAATTTGCACCTCTTTTGCAGGCATGGCCCTTACAAATAGCTCATTGCAAAAAAAAACCCAGCCAAAATAAAAATACAGCCAATTCACTCCACAAATCGCAGCTCCACAGCCCGGAGAGGCGAGTCTGGAATCCTAAGGTGCGGTTCAGTTCTCCCACGTTAAACCCAGCACTTAATAACGAGATGTAAAAGCACCTCGGGAATGCTTTTTCCCTCCCCCGCGGAGCAGCGTCGAGGCAGTTCTGACCCACAGTGAACAACCCAGATGTCTCTCCCTGCTGCTTTGCCCTGGCCAAGATGCCAGCACCGGGAGCAGAGCACAGGCAGCAGGGCAGAGGAAGGCACCAGCCTCCTGCAGGCAGATAAAGCTTGTCTCCAAACAGAAGCCAACAATATTACTGGGCCTAATCAAAGACTTTTTTCACTACCCTTTACAGTCATTTTCTTTGTACTTCTGGCACCATCTTTGTTAGGAAGATTTATTGTCTGCTTTTTCAAATTTATCAGTTTGCAATGGCCACCAGATGAAGGGATCTCTTTAAGTCACTCTGTGTGGGGACGCTGAGAACATGTGCCTTACAGTCAGAGCTTCAAAGTCTCCCAGGCTGGAAAACCACTTACAAACAACAGTGACAGGAAAAGTTTTGAGATTGTTATATTCAAGATATGCTGTTTATGAGGTGTTCTGCATTTTGAAGTTATTGACTTACAATTATTCAAATTGACTGCACTCCTTAAAAAGTAAATTGAGATTTTTTTTTAGTATCTGACAAATTAAAAGAGTAACAGGTTTACTTCTTGATTGCTAAAAGACCATAAAATAAAGGTTTCCAACAAGAATCATTTGAATGTTAAACATTGCTATGATAGTTACCACTATAGTTTCTTCCTAGAAAGGTCAATTTACTTAACTATTTTAGTTACAAGTAGAAGCAACTGTTGCATCATCTTGCAGGACTGGGATGGCTGTTGAATATCAGGGAAGGATAATAGGATAGATAAAAGTTCTCTAAAAGAGAAAGCACCAGAACCAGCAGAAAGGTGGGGTCGGGCAGCCCTTCATTTGAATGTAAATGTAATTATGAGGCAGCAGTTGGGCTGACGTCAGGCAAGGTCTTGGTAAACCATTACCACCAGCACCTGGTAACACAGTGGATAATAAAAGAGGATGAAGTAGAAGATTCCAAGCAGAGTGGCATTATTGGGGAAAAGCAAACCCAAATATTTTGGAGCAGCAGAGGACGCGGAAGAGCAGGATGTGGTGGCCAGGTGTGTGACAGCCATGTACGTGAGCCCGCTCCTGGACAAGGACAGCACCATGTACCCAGGGGCTGCCCGGGCCGCCAACACCCTGCCAGGGCAGGGCTTCGTGTCCGCCCCCCCCTACCCCGAGTACATGGGCTACCACCCCGTGCCAGCCCTGGACACCCACGGGCAGCCGCCGGGGCCCTGGGGCTCCCACTTTGGCCCGCAGAGGGAGGACTGGAACGCGTACGGGCCGGGCCCCTCCGGCGCCGCCACCGCCCAGCTCAGCGCCTCGTCCCCCGCGCAGGGCTCCTACAGCCCTGCCGAGTACAGCGCCCTGCAGCCCGGGGCCAACCCTCCCGCAGAGCCCAACAGTGCCCAGCACATCTCCCCCAGCAGCCACAGGCACAGCTCCTACGAGTGGATGAGGAAAACCGGGCAAGCCAACCCCACCGGTAAGTGCGCATCCCACCTCGGCTCTCACAAATAATTAACTTCACTTGAAGCACAGCGGTTGGTGCTCGTGTATGGCATTTATTTCACCTACTGCTGTTTAAGGCAGTTTTGACTAAATTTGTGCTAGTCTCAGTTCTCCCCGGGAAGGTTTTTTGTGGTTACTGTAGTGGAATGGCTGGTGTGGTCAGACACGGATGTGTCAGACATGGATGTGGTCCCACAGCTCCTGTTGGAACGTTCTGTAAAGCATTTGGTGGGGAAACGTGATAAGCTTGGAAGTGTTATGGGGCAATGAAAGCGGCAACACTTAACAGCTACAGGCAAAAAAATACTACCGAATTATTTTGTGCTGCAAGGAAAATATCGATATAAAATCAGGTTGACCTTTTTAAATAATTTTAATAACTTGAGAGAGAATTATGTGCTCTCATCCAAACGTAGCGATTACCCAGCCTTCTGCTGGTTTTCATCTGCCTTTTCTTTTTCTACCCAGAACTATTAATGAAAAGAAGTATTCCTAGAGAAGCAATCTGGTTCAAATGACCAGCATAGACTAGTTTGTTTGTAGATCACATAACTCCTCACTTAAGCTTCCTCTTCATTTAGTTTCCCATCAGTTTTACATATTTTTCTTACATACCAGAACTTTGCAGCTTGCCACAATTACACAATTAAAACTCACTTTCCTGCAAGTGCCACTCATTGATGTGCCTGTTCTTGTGACAGGCTGCCTCCAGATGAACCTTTCCATGTATATTCCCAAGGTGTAAACTGGGTGTAGCAAGGATTGCCAAATCTATTGTTAAGGTTAAAAGTAGTAAGTGTGTGTTAGGGAGCATCAAAGAAAATGCTTCAAAGAAAGCAGAGCAATTACAACTAGAGCAATCTTAGGAGGCACAGAAAATCAGCACTACTGCTTCAGACAGAAACCTCCTTCAAGTGGTTATTACTCAGGAGCAAAATTAGTCTTGGTAATTGTTTCTTAATTATAAAGCAGACTGGCACTGTTTTGCCACTGTTACTAACTATAAAATGCCCAGGGAACAGGGGGATATCCCAGTGCCATCCTTCCCCTTGGAGCCTCCACAAAGCCCTTCAAAGCCAGGTGGGTTTAGAGTCCCTTTTCCCCTCATGTAAATCACAGTAACTTCATTAACATCATTGGAGATTTCCAGGTGTAGAAGTGATGCAAGACTTGAGTGGAGACCAAATTCGACTGAATGTCAATGAGGGAGCCCTGTCTGTGTCACTGAATTTTAAATGTGCTGTCATTCTTAAACAGTAGCACAGACTTCAGAATCTAAATCTTTGCTTTACACTTATTGCACAGACTTGGCAGACCCTGAAAGGTTTCTCACATGCTTGTTCAAATATATCTGTGATTAAGAGACATAGTTTTGGGCCTAAATTCATCTCTAGGCTGGAAAGCACTTCCCCAGAATTTACACCCAGGCTGCAATACTTTCTGAACCGTTGGGGCAGGTGAAACAGGGCCCATCAATAGCTGCATGTCCCGAGGCTGAGCATTCCCTGCCTTTGAAGTGTTAAAGGACTCAGGACTTCACAGCAGTGAGCTCCAGGCATCAGCCCCAGACTGTCAGAGTAAAGCACAAATGTGGAACTGTACAGAACAAGAAAAGTACCAACTAGTTTGGTGATTTAAAAAAAAGGTGGAAATTTTAATACTGACACAGAAAAAATGGTGAGAAGTGGAAGGAAATTCAAACAAATGACAAGGCTAAAATGATTCATGTAATTATACTGTGTTACCTTATCAATGCTTTCTCTAGAAAAAACTAACCTGATGCCATTATAACCCCTCTTTGAAACACCCCTGCTCTCTGCTGTTCCTTATTGCCTTAATATCAGTCGTTATAAAGTAGCTACTGGTTCCTCTCCCTCAGTGTTATCACTGCTTGGTACAGTTCAGTGCTCTCAGATCCCAGAATTACAGCCCTGAAGCCCACAAATGTATTTATATGTTTAGATACGTGTCTGCCCTTCAGTGCACCAGTGGTGTGCACTCACATGGATGTGTGTGAGCAGCCAGGAATAACAGAGATCAAACCACATCTGATTAGATCAGGGAGTCTCCTGAAATTCTGCCCTGAAGACAAGGGGAATTACCTGGGGGGAGTGGATGTTAATGGGAATTTTTTCACTCTCTATTCAGGCTCTAGTAAATACACTACATTCTGATTCCACAGTTGTATTCAGCTTTTTACACACACACACAAAATTAGCTGTAGGAAAAGTGAAATGAAAATTTACCTGATCAAATCAATCTTCAGGATGAAACAACACCACAAAGACAGAAGTACTGAGTCCTTTCAACAGATAAAATGGGATTTGAAAGCCTCTGTCTGAAAGACCATAGCTGTATATTCAAAACCAATCCCTTTCTTATTTCAAACACACAGACACTGCAAATATCTGAGGCAACAGGAAATTCGGAAAAACCAAACATCAAAAGTGGGCCTGGAAAAGGTATCTTGCCAGTCAGGCTATCAAAGTGAGGAAAAGAACATCTAAAGAATTCCTGACAGTCTGAGCCTGTTCTCACTACAAATCTATGATAAAATGCCCCATCAACTTCAGCTGTGCAAGAGCAGAGCTCCACATTAATTTCTAAACCCTGTGTGATCAACAATGTAAAATGTGTATTTCTGAGAGCAAGTGAGCCTTCAAAGCATGGAACCTACTGAGAAGGTGTTGAAAGGGCCTAGGAAACAGGTTCCAAAACTTCCTATGAAACCCCATCTGGGAGTGGCTGTTCTCAAAGGAGAAAGGACTGTGAGGGGACTAAACCAAAGCACAACAATATTTTCATATGTTGCCTGCTCAGCCTTAGCTGTTTTTTTTTTTTCCTATATCCAACATATTTTCTGTCTTTATTTAAACAAGCAGTGCTGTCCAAGTAATTCAGATTCCATCACAGCAGAAACACAGCCAGAAAGCAAACTAGAAAAGCAAGCAAAAAGGCCAGGCCCCTGCTTTAATGCTAATTTATTTTGCTTTGTAAACTGGTTGTGACATCTATTTTGCAGTGGCCTACATTGTCTGAGGTTTTGAGGCCTATCTGTCATATTGAGGCAGCAGACCCTTTTAACACTTCACTTTGCTTTGATATGCAGCCTTGGCTCTTCCTTCTCCCTCCTTTCTTCAGGAGTTATATTGCCGGAAAGGGTGATGATTTTCACAGCAAATAAAGAGGCCTTCTCCCAGCTTTATTGTCTTCAGAAGAAATGCTCTGTGAATTTTATGACCAAGGGCAATGGGGAAAACTGCTCCTTTTCTCCACCCCCTCAGATCGTGGCTATATTTGCTGATTATAGTGAAGCCGGAATAACCTCGTTGAATTTTAACTTGTTTTCAAAGATTCCCTCTAAGCCTTGGGTTCACAAGGAACCTGAATATCTGTCCTACTGTCAGCATTAGAACTATCACTTAGGGTAAAGCTTTCAAAGCCAACAATTCATACCTTGAAGAAAGTAAACTTGGTTTGATGATTGGTTTAGTCCTGCAAATTTAGGCAGGAACATCTTGTATGTTGGAAGTCAAATAGGCCAAGGATTTGGGAAAATATCCTTAATTCTGCGTATTTCAGCTATGTCTACCTCGGGCTTTCAGATAAAAATAACACAGTCTGTCCTAAGTCAGTCCAAATTTAAAGAGAACTGAGGGAAAAAATACTCCCTCATCTATTTCTGTGCCTTTTTCCTCTGCTAAGATGAAAGAGTCTGACATTTGTTTAGGGCTTGTAAATTCCAAACCAATTGGCTTGTGGTCCTGAATGTGAAAGGGGGGCTCGATAAGATCTCCTTGTCGCTCCTTTGTGTGGCGTGTGCTTCATCTTAACACCTCAATGGATTTTAGGGAACCACTTTAAAGGAGTCTTTGTCCTACAGTTTGTCCCAGAAAACTCACATCAAAAAAAACTGGGAAGATCAGAAGAAAAAAGGAAAACTATCTAGTTGGCTGTTGAAAGTGCAAAGGAGAACAAATAAGTTGAAAACTGATCTCTCTGTATTGTTATTGCATGAAGAATTGTTTAAAAATTATATGAAATGAGAGATATCTTCTAAACATTCAGTATTGCTTCCCTTAATGGTATTTATCTGATGTACCTAAGAATAGTTCTTTTATACATTAGAGAGAGGATGATCCTGAAATCCTTTTACAAGTATTTTATTGCCTCATCTTACAAATTGCCTCCAACTCCAAAGGGAAGCCCAGCCCAGAGCACCCCCAGGAATTCCTCTGCAGGCACTCAGCACCTTGCAAGGCTGGGCCTGGCTGGGAAAAGTAAAGTCAAATTATTATTGAGCTTACAAGCACATCCTGTGGCCACACAAGAAAGCAAAAGCACTTCCAGCAGGACATTTCTTTGTGTTGGACAAGTGATCTTTAAAAACTCAGGTAAAGAATTAGGCCACAGTACAACCAAAACTGTGACTGAACTTCAGCCTGGAAGTGCTGTGTATTTGTGCTCTCCAGTGCACACAAGTCACTTCAGTGAGCACTGTAATGAAAGGCCTTTGAGATTAATGTACCAGCACCAGAGATGTACTGCTATCAATTATTGAAGATGCTTCAGGGTGTTTATCACTTAAGAGCTCCACACTGAAATGTGTGTTTACAGAGAGAGGGAAAGACAGTTGTGGTAACCAATACTCTCTTAGTTCACCCTGCACCTCATATTCTGTGCCACAGAAAACAATCCCATGTGAGTAGTTTAATTAATGTCTGTAAAACGCTGGAGATGTCTGAAAGTTAGTATGGAAAGTCAAATTAATATTTAATATTAATAACATTTCTTTCCTAAACAGGCAAAACAAGAACAAAAGAAAAGTACCGAGTTGTTTACACAGACCATCAGAGACTGGAATTAGAGAAGGAATTTCACTGCAACAGATACATCACAATCAGGAGAAAGTCAGAACTGGCAGCAAACCTGGGACTATCGGAAAGACAGGTACCCAGAGCCCTCCATCCCAGAGCACACCCCACACTCCTTAACTGCGCATTTGGCAGAAAGCTCCAATTAGAGGGAACAAGCATTAGGAATTCATCTGTGCTACACAAAGGACTTAGTCTTACCTTCTACCTTGCACTACAGATAGAATTTAAACAGTTCGGCTTCAAGTTCCCAATAGTTCTGACCTTCACAACTTTATTTCTTCTTGAAACCACACAAAATAACGGCCAGGTAAAAATCCAGTTGGATGCACTTGAGCTGTAAGGCAGGAAAATCAGAACTTGTCATTCAGAGAGCAACCAAATGAGATATTTATGGGGGGTTTTGTCACCAATGTATTGGCACAGCTCCCACAGGCCACATTCTTCCTCAGATTTCAGCATATTCAAGGGGTTCTTCCAGCCCTGGATTTTCAAGTCAGGTTCTCTTTTTGCTATTATTTTCACAGGTCCTTCACCTACAGCAGTAGTTAAAAATTACTATGTACAGGCCACTTCAGGCTGCAAAATTTGGAGCCACATTTGACATTATCACACAAATACATGTAGCCAAGACCATCCAGGCAGGGAATGTGCAAGGAATGTGCAAGGAATGTGCAAGATCCATTCCTTCCTTGGAAAGCAGCTCTGCATTGTTTCATATAGAGCACATATTTAATCTGTGTCCTGAATAAAGACAGTCCCCTGAGCAGGGCCCAGATCTGTCAGCTGTGCTCATACAAAGACTAGAGGAATTCAGGATAAGAATTCCCTAAAATCCCTGTGTTGGAAAGCACAGCTGTGCAGGAACTGCTGGATCCAACCCTCCAGAGCTACAACTGGAGGATAAGGTGACACTGAATAGGGTATCTCATTCAGCAACCAGATTATTGCTCTCAGATAAATCCAAAGCAGAGAGCTTTGTTTTGAGTATTTTATAAGCATTTGTTCTTCCTGCAGATACACAGCCAGTTCTTTCAGCGGCCTCCTCTGCTTTGCATTCAGCCTGTGCAGGAGCAGGGGATGGAGAGGGGCCAGAGGAGGCTGCAAGTGTGGGGATGCACAGAGAACCAAGGGTGTTTTAGGCCTGAGCACCTTTCAGTGCAGTGCCATTCAGCCCCAGCCCCAAGGAGTGCACAGCTTGCACTCTGCAGGCTCCACGTGGCCCCAGACAGTGACAATGAAAGGCAGGTTTGTCATGGCTGGACCAAAGTTTGTCACACAGTAGGACAGAGCTGCCTTGGAAATTCCCCAGAGCACTGCAGTTCTGCAAGATTCAAATCCTGCACCTTCAGATCGTGTAAGCTGGCTGACAGAACACACACACTGCCTGCAGTGACCACAGATACTGCACAAAACCAGCAGGTACTTCTACACTGCTGCTCCTCATGCCACCCAACCTTTGGCAAATCTCCTGCAAGTGTAATGGGGACAAAATACTTCATTTGGCTGTATTTCTGCAGGACTCCTGACAGACAAAGCTAAATGCTACTTAATGCCATTACCAGTAAGGTGATAAAAATAAATAGAAAATAATAATTACATTTTGAATACAAAGCAATGGCACAACTTTATCATACTGCATTCAACACACCTTCTGTGCTATAACAAAAACTGTAAAGTATGAACACAAACTTTCTATTTATTCACACAAGGAGATAAAATATAAATAGTTACACTAAAAGCAGATTTTAAAGAGACAGGAGTCTTTACACCTGCACAATTAGTCTGGGAAATTGACTGTCATTAAGTAATGCTGATATCTAGTGATACACATGACAGTATGTATGTATCTGAAAAATACAGATACAAAAATAGAGATTTAAATATATAATATATAATGAAAGCAATCAAAACTTTGAAAACACATAAGAATATATGCACACACAAAAATCACTCACAACATAAATGAAGAAAAAGAACCCTCAGTACTTGGCTTTGAATTAATCTGTAACACAGATAATAAAGCAATCTTCAAAATTATTCCCTAATTGCATCTTCCTAAAGTCTGACACAGCCATTGGCAAAGCTGGGGTGATGAGCTCGGGCTCTGTGAGTCCCAGGGAGTGTGTGGATCCCTGTGTTCCCACTTATAATAACACAGCAGGCCCAAGAACAGAAAGCCATTTTCTCCTCATTATGATGCAGAAAATGAACACAGAGTAAAGGCAAAAGTTTTCACTGCACAGATCCAGTGGTTTGGTTTGTGGGGGTTTGATGGTGGGTTCATTGTGTGGGGGTGTTTGTTTCCTTTGCTTCAGGGGTTGGGTGGGGTTTGTAACTGCTCTCCATTTGCACTGCTGTACTCGCTGCCCGGTCTCTGCGCTAACGAGCTGCGGTTTGTGATGCCCAGGTGAAGATCTGGTTCCAGAACCGGCGGGCGAAGGAGAGGAAGCTGCTCAAGAAGAAGCTGTCGCAGTTTGACGGCAGCGGGGGCTCTGCCCAGAGCGACTCGGGCTCGCTGAGCCCCAACGACCTGCCCAGCTCCCTGTTCCCGCCCCCACACGCCATCAGCGGATTGCAGCCCAGTGACATTCACCAGGTCATGGTCTCAGAATGAACAGAGGGGAGAAAACAGGAAAAGACAGAAAGCAGGAATGAATTTGCCCACCTCGAAAGCTCGCTCTTGCAAAGGACCCTGCTCATTTCACTGCCTCCAGAGAGCTGATTGCTGGGCACGGGAGCTGCGACTGTTGTCAAAGGACTTTATTGTTGCAGAAATCTCAGGGAACTTGTGCTGCTAAGATTCATCACTCAGTATCTTTGAACAGCAGGTAATTTGCTTCAGACACTGACACAAAGAACGATACAACAAAGGTTCAAGTAAATGTAGTTCTAGTCTGATCATATATACCCAGAGAGAACTAAGGGGACTGATTATAAAATAGAGTATTATTGCAGAAAATATAAGAAGCTGGGTACGTTTGGGTTGTTACATTTATGTAATTAGAGTAAACAGTAGATCTTAATAAATATTTACACTTACATGTACTGCAAAGAATGCTACTTTCTGAAAACAACAAACATTCAAAACACTTTTAATTACTCAAGAAAAATAATAATGTCACTACACCAACATATTGCATTTAATTAAATAACACAAATCATCGTTGCCCTATGTCATTGTATTCAAGGATGCAATAGTTACAGATACCTAATCTACCAAACCTGGCAAGATCTGCTCCACTGTAAGAGATGAAGCCATTTCTCGTGCACATTAAGAAATACCAAATAATTTGGAAGATAAGCATTACCTCAATCTCCAGTGACTGCACATATTGCTGCTCAAATATATGAGCAAAAATGTAATGGAAACAGAACTGTTACTACCACTAAACCCCCAAAAAGCAAATGAAGGATTTGCTTATTGTCTCTAAACATTTTAAGCTAAATAGTAGCAGTTTTAGGCCACTGACTTTATACTGGACTCTCATTTTGGGCAAGAAGTACCCCAGAGTAGCTGCCAGTGTTATTTTGAAGCTCTTACCTGCAGCTCAGCACTCCCCAAGTGCAGGAATGGCACCAAAGAAATGTTCCCTTCGTGGGCACTCCTGAAAGAGCACAAATTAAGCATAAACATGCTCATGGTGTGGTTTGCTTTAATTATCAGCAGCAATGATATCTAGAAGTCTGGAAAAAGGAGAAAGAAAACCCAAAGCACTAAAAAAACCCCCAAGGCCTTCAGTAGTATTGTTCGTTGGAACTGCATAGTGGCAGCTTTTTGATAGCACACAAGTGCCCTAGTGTGAAAATTTGTTATTACTGAAAAGGCCAAGAGGAGCAAAGGTAATAAAAAGGGAAAACAGCAGAAAACAATCAGAAATCAGCATTATATGGCATATGAAAAGTCAGGCATTACTTATTTCAGCAATACCAAACTTGCTCTCGGAACCAGCAGATCAAATTCTGCTGTTCTTTGTGTCAGTGAGCACTGAAAATGCACTGAACAACACTGACAGAACCTGCAAAGCTCTCAGCATCTGCACTGCGTACACCAGATAACCTGCATTTGAAGATGTGTCTCACTATTCCACAGTTATTTAAAAATAACTCTGTTAGGAGTAACTCCATGAAAGCAGCTCTATTAGGAGGCACAAGAATAACCTCTTCAAAAATAAATACTGAATTATATATTTGTGGGCATGTCTCCAACTAAACTAGGAGGGAATCCTGTACCACAGGACAAGAACTTACTGTAAGTTTACTCATTTGTGGGTGGTTCCCTGATATATTTTCTAATAATCTCCTGTCATATAGCTAAAATAAATAGGTGTATCTTAATGCAAACAAACTGCAAAGAGAAAATCTTGTGTATATAAATAGGTACAAAACTCAGCCTGATGAGAAATTGAGACTTTGTCTGCATGGCTTTGATTCAGGATCTTCCAAATCTGCCCATGGGTGTTCCAGTGTGATGATGGACATTTTAGGAGACAGAGCAGCAGGTTGTAGAGATCTGGTTGTGTTCAGAGTCATGGAGTGTTGCACTTCTATACATGAAGGATGTACAAGGTCAAACCATCTCCCAAGAAACTCATCCTTCAGACACACAGGAAAAAGGGAAGAGCACCTTTCCCTTGGTATGCAAAGCCCAACTCACCAGAAGGTCCAACTCTCCCACAGTCCACCAGGGAATCATTCCAAATGAGCTTATTTCAGGTGTCAAACCAGAGCTGGAATGGGATACAAAGCACCTCCCATAACATGTTTAAAATCAATCCTGTCAATAAAAAGTATTTTCCTTTTTCATGATCTTCATCCTGAATTTTTTCCAAAGTGTATATTGATAAATATTTGGGGGACACAATCTCTTTCATGCACCAGATAATGATCTCCAAGCCTAAAGAGTGTGTTGGATTATGTTCTCTGGCTATGACTGACTCAGATAAGAAGTTATTCCCCCTAACTTGGACTGTGCACAGCTACCCCCACCCACATCATAACATCCTTTTCAGTCTCAGTGCAGCAACACAGCTGTTTCTCAAAATAATCCAGGGAGAGTTAAACCCTTTTGGACGGATCAGGGTAATTTTTGGTAAACTTGATCAGAGAGTGATAACCATGCAGTCAGAGTTCCACACCAGGAGGCTGGGAGGCCACAGGGAGGGGAAATGGCAAGAAGCTGACAGAAGAAAATCTTCACTGTGTCTCTGCAGCCATTATTGTTCCCCTGATCAAAATGCACTTCATGCTGGCAGGCTCAGTGCCCATCCCAGATGACAGGCCAGGCTGACAGGGAGGGGTCCATGCTACACCCACGCTCTGCCAGCAGCAGCCTGGGAACACGAGGGGCAGGCCAGGCTGTTGGGTGCAGGACACACAGCCAAAGGCCTCACAGGGTCATTATTGTGGGGCAGCTGTGTTTGCAGCATTGCTTATGCAAAAGAACAACTTCAGAAGATGTGATCAGCCCTTGTATTTCATTTTTGTGTTTACATGGGTGAAACACTAAAGGCTATAAATAACATTTTTCAATATTTATCTTTCCCCCTTTGAAGGCTTATCCAGGGACTTTAGACTCTCCCTTAGCACTGTTAGGCAATTAAAATAATAATAAATCAAATGCCATCCTTCTCACCCAGTGGGGACCCTCCCCAAGCTCTCTGAGTTTCCTGTGTTTTTCCCTTTATGTAAATAGAAAACCATCCCACTGTTTAAATTCAGCCCTTTGGTTGGTGTTTGGAGTTTGCAGAGCAGGGAGTCACTGGAACACCAGCTGATATCAAAAGAGAACTCTGCATCACACAACTGTCTGATTCCAGCAGCCAGCAAATCCCTCCTGGCATTTATCTGACTCATCTTTACTCTTAGGAGAATTCTGCAGAGGTGCCAAAGCTTTGGCAACCATCGCCCTTCTCAGTCCCACTGCCTATAAATACTTAATCAAGAAGGAACAATTTGCCACAAACTGCTTATGCTGACACTCAGTGTAGCACCATAGTGATTTGGCTTTATTAACTAACCTCTAAATATTGATCTGTGTCAGAAAATAAAGAAAAATACAGATTTATCTGTAGTTACAGTAATGACAGATAGTTTAGACCAGAAATTGGAAAGGACCTAATTATAAGATATTTAAAATATTGATTTGCAGAGGAGAGAGCATAAGTTAAACACCCAACTGGCTGCTTGTAGTAGTCACACAGGTCTAGTAAAAACCCAGATCAGAAACCTGACAACCTCTCGAAACTCAGATGACTTTGGAAAACGGATCTCCATCAGGCATTTTCAGTATAAGCAGCACAGAGCTGCACACCCCTGCACAGAAACCTCCTAGATATTACAGAATATTTGTGTCACAAACCCAGTTTCATTTACCCTCTCACATCACTGCTGACTTGCCTTCCTTCAGCAGCTGAACGTATCCAAATTTGCCTAATGAGTTACACATTTCTGTTGCTAACCACAATGATGTGCATTTGCTGTGAGATGCAACTCAGCTTGGGAAAAGAGTTTGTGTCAGTTGACCAAGAAACAGGATGGTTTGTCCACCATTCTCCAAACTCCAAGGGTATATTCCTCTTATCCATCAACCTCTTCCTTTGCTGAAACCCACAAGTGTGTGAAATGAGTGAATTCTGGCAGCCAGCATGACATCACTTGTTGGATATTCTTCCTTCTGAAGAACGACTAGGGGTGATTTATATGGAACAAACAAGGAAAAAATACACTGGAAGACTTGGAATCTCTCAGTCCACATTAGCATTCCCTTCATTTTCTCTCAACAGAGCTTTTATTTAATACTATGTTTTATCTCCTCTCTTTGTGTTTCATGGTCTACATAAGAACACTTTTGATTCCAAGACAGGAAGTGATTTGGGTGGATAAACATTGCCAGAGCCCATCATCTCTCTCACAAATCACCCAGTTTTTATAGCATAATGGTTTCATCAAATAAACAGCATCCTAAAACAGTTCTGAAATGAGGCTTCTAAATATTTCCTCCTGTGAAGCCATAAAGTTTGATAAATCAGGCTACAAAACTTCCCTATAGTATTTCCCTCTCAAACCCAATACTCAGCAGACATACCTCAAACACAGACATGGGTTACAAAAGGTGTTTTTCTAAAATGGTCTATTTTTACCCACACAGTCATCATTCCTACAGGAGGGAACACACAAACATACATATTAAAAAAAAAAAAAAAAAGGTCCACTGAAACTTCAGCTGAACTTTTGACTTTAAAAGCACAAGATGTTAAATACGTAGCTGGTATAGCAAAGTACCTTTTCCAGTTAAAGAGATTCCTTTTGTGGTTTGCTAAACCCTCAGACACTCATGAGAAAGAGGTCACACAGTATATTGTGCCAAAACTCTACATTTGCTCTTTTCACCCTTCAGTTCAGCAAATGACTGCCCACCTGTTCAGCACCTAATGGAGTTCAAGCCTTAATCCATCCCATGTGCCCTCCTGGCACAACATCCACTGAAATGGCTGGAACACCAGCTTGTTTATTGGATCAGGACACAGGCTGCATTAAAATGGAGGCTCTTCAATGAAACCTGAGCCTGCTGCTGGATGGTTCCTGTTTGCCACACCTCTTCCTGACACCCCAATC